TTTTTTTTTAAAGTACACTAGCGATAATTGTTTGGCTAAGTATTTATTCAATAACGATATTTACATATATCTTTCAATATTACTATCTAGGAATATACTATAACGTATCAGTTATCAATTATACCCAACACTTATTGGGATTGCTTCAAATAACGACATTTGCTATAGCTTGTTCCTAACTATATTAGATATAGAGACTAATCTACTGAACAAAGGTAATTCTTTGTTGGATCAGTAATGTGCATTTTCACTAGTAATTGGACAGCTTTATTTCTAACTAGAGAGAAATTTAGAGGAAGTTGAAAGGGAGCACTAGGGGTAATATCTATGGCAAATAAAGCTACATGATCACTGCTTGTTCCATTGAGATAAATCCCTTTACTACTACTTGCAGCTGGGCTAACCATTTAATTTTTTACCTGTCCAATGATACCCAAGAATGTTCAAGGTACTTATAACTAGTGCTTATTGCCTGAACACTGACTTATACATTGCAGAGAATGGACTTATAGCCAGAAGCCTTCTTGAAATAAGTACTGCCAAACCAATTTATTACTGGATTGGGATGAGACTAGTGTAGGGGTCTGTGTGAAAGATGCTAGATATTAGGGAAAGGATCACCAAACCTACTTGTCGAAAGTGAACACCTCATATATCTTACAACTTCTGGCAATTATTGTAACACCAACCAGATGATCGTTGCATCACGACACCTTTTCTGAAAATTACAATCCCAATGTCCTACTGGATCAGCATGCGAATGACTTCTTATAGGAAACAGGACTTAACAGGTTATGGCCCCAGATACCATTTTTAATTTGGTTCAATTGCCTTCACCTGGGATTGAACTGGTATCTTATGATCTGATCTGTAGAGTGTTAACTATTACACTATGGACCCACAGGTTTGAAATGCTAATTTATTATTTTATTATTTCACTTTATATTATATGTATATGATCTTCAAAGAACCAATAAGATTATATATACTATTTTTAGTTTGTATTTCTACTTTATTTATTTATATTGAAAAAACATATATATAAAGAAGCACTTTTTTCTTTGAAAAATAACAAAGTTGTCTGGTTTTTCTTATATTTAATAAAGTTTTTCTTTATTAATTATAAACAATACCTTATTTATAATTTTTTTAATATAAAATATTATATATTGTAATATGAAATGTTATAGCTATTTATAATTTTATAACAATTATTAATATAGTAGTCTAAATTATATAGTGACAGAAGTCAATTGTGACTGAACTGGCCTGGCTGTTATAGTTGGCTTGGCTAGCTGAAATGATTTATAGCTGACCCAGGCCAATTAAAATTTTACTATATAAGTATATTTAGCCAGTCAATTAAGCTAATAAAATTTTTACTAAATAAGATATGCATGGCTGGCCAACTAAGTTGACAAAAATTTATACTATATATGGTATGTAAAATGTTTTAGCCGCTGATAAAATTTTATTCTGCCCCACTTTAGCGATAGACTTGTCAAACAACTGTCACAAATTTGGTGGTGACTGTGAAATAGTGAGATAGAATGCTGTTCATTTATTTTATTTTTTTTCCCCTCCCCTTCCAATATTTTCACGCGAACACCTTTTTTTTTTGACACTTTTTCCAATCCCTATTATAAAAAACACAACTATTCATTAGAATCTTTTTGCATTCTACCACCCGACTTTCTAATTTTTATTTTCTTTTATTTCTCCCTAACCTTTAGACACGCAGTATAATGACCTGACCTAGGCACAGCTCAAGATCTGGAACCCCAAATTAGTTAAACAGTGCAAATATTATTAACTTACCTAATAACCTTATAAAACGATAATGAATTTCCAAATGGGTGGCGACACAACTACCAAACTCCTCTAGCAGCTTGTTACCTTGCAAGAAGTAGTGCGGGTCCTTGATAATAAAGAAAACCTAAATATAAGGCTGAAAAAGCAAGAAGAAAAAATTCGACAGGTCAAACTACATGGGTTTTAGGGAAAAGTTGGAGAGAGCTCACGAGAATGATTAAAGCAAGAAGGCCACCAAATTCTATGGTTGGCCAAGTAGTGAGGAGTAGGTCACTACTTGAAAGGGAATGCCAAGGAGTACTATATACCACTGCATACAATACCCCAGATATTAATCAATTTATCTCCTAATAAATTGATTAATACCTGGGAGATATTTTACTAGAAAGGGGATAGTATTAGTGACAGGGTATATTATTACTATAAAATTCAAAATACATACTAGTCTTACTTATTATTATATTAATATATCCGGGTAGTAATCAATTATCAAGTAACAATTTTCTTGAATACTATTCAGTATTATTTGTGGAGAGGTAGTATTTGGAGAGGGTATTGTATACAGTGGTATACAATAGTATGAGACCAGTTCATCTATTGGGATGAATGTGACAATGGAAAAAGCTTGATATTGACGTTCGTACAGCATTTCAAAATGCTGGAGCAATGTTGTCGATAGCAAGAAGAATTGGAAACCATTCAGCAAGGCAAGAACGAAAAGGTGATGGAGTACGCCTATAGGTTTGTGAAGCTACTTAAGAAGCTCTACCCAAAGGGCGATTACGCAAAGAAGCGACGCATTGGTTGCTAATACTTGGACTAAGGAAAGATATACTAACGCAACTAACCATCGGAAACATGACCACGCTAGGAGAAGTGTTCAAAGAAGCAGTAAAGATTGAACGAGCAAGAGAGTTAGAAGCCCACATCCAAGAACTAATGAAGCAAGTATGAGAATTAGGAACGAAGTTGAACAAACCTGCCGTCCTTGCTAAAGAAAGCATAAGTGAACTAGAGATGCCATCAGGAAAGGATTTGGGTTGTGGAGACTCAAGGAAGAGAGGCCATAACGCTGAAGATTGTCCAAAGGAGGACAAGTTTTTCCAAGGGTCGTCTGGGACAAAAGGAACGCAACTTGACAAGGATGGAGAATTGGGATGTTCGTCGAAGGACTCGTACACTGCGAACTCTGAAGAACGTTATAACAAAGAGATAGATCGCGACCTGCGAAAAGAAAGTAAATCTCGGAAGAAACAATGGATGATTACCTGAGTGAAATCCTGGAAGACATAAGCGTAGAAGAGGATGAATCAGTGACGAATCACGAGCAACAGAAAAAATGACAAGAGCATAGGCTGCAGCAACATCCCTGTAGAAACACCGAACACCTAGAGGAAATAACGACTGGTCATCCAAGCAAGGATCTGGAGGAACGCCTCGACAATAACAGAACTCTAACGACAGAAGATAAGAGAAACAACAATATCAATGAGGGAGAAGGTAACACTGGAGGATGTCTCGAAGAAAAAACAATACTTATGAGAACAGACCCTGTGACGAAAAAGAGTGACCAACCATCACGGATAATCATGATCAGGAAGGAGGATATACCACTGTGCAAAAGAAACTCGTTAACAATAAACCTGATTTTGAAGATACTCGGCATACAATGAAGGGAATAGAATTGTCAAGGAATTCCCAAATTCAGAGGTGGTGGCAATGAAAAATCTGAAGTGATTAAGAAACCGAAACAATATGACTAATGAAGGTCATAATACATGCACATAGACTGGAAATCGAATACCATCAATATGACACCTGCACCATCACAGTCCGACATCATCTGGTCAATTGGAGTAAAGTAAGTAACCAAGCTATGATGGCTTCTTTAACGACATCACTGGCCATAACACTACGATCCCGAGAGATCACCAGCTTGACATACCTAAGGATTAAGCACAAATGGAGAAATAAAATGATCGACGATCTAACCTCTTATTAACAACTGGCACTTGCTAACAGATCGTTACAGTCGATCCACCATATTAAAAATCCTATACAAGGTATGCATAAGATAAGCGTAAGGGAAGTGTCAGGGTAAAATTATGACGCGATGCCAGTCACGTGACTAACCGTCATAATCGTGCTGCGAAGGACCCGTTCTGATCATAGTACTTAAGTAGTAGGAAATGGTTAAAATAGTAATAAAATAGCGTATTAAGAAATTAGGTAATAAGGAGAGAATCGTGAGAGATGATTAAATAATGTAAACTATTGTGCTTGAACATTACGTAATTAGGAAGAATCTTAAGAAGACATTAGATAATCAATGTTGTCATATTTTTAGAATATAAAAGTCGTCCTAACCAAAATGTATAAAAAGATGAAAGCCAACCAGAAAAAAAAATAACGAAGCATATATATATGTGAAATTGCACATATATACATATTTAATTAAACGCAGTTATATCAAGTCAACGAAAAAGCAGACTGAGATGATTTATAGAATACAACCCAAACATTTGTAATACTATAACCACTAGACATCAACAAACTGTATTCACACAATCTACACCATCATATGAATCTCTTTTTCCTTCCACTTTCCCTAATCATAATGAAGAATATTTAACACCATCTATATTATCACCTCTACACTTGCCAAGTTCTTCACCATCCACAAGTCTTCCATCTACCTCATATTCAGATCACCAACCCCCTGTCCAAGTACTACAGACAATAAAACATATGCAACGCAGAGATCGTAACAGTAGCTGGGTATGGGATTATGTAGGTAAAAACATCATTGATAGTTATAGATATTGTCAAGTATTAGTTGTTAAGAATGATCAAAGTGTTCTATGTGGAAGTCGGTTCAAATCATCATGCTTCACAACAAATATTGGAAACCATCTGAGCAAGGTACACTGAATAATGTCAGTATACAATTCCAAAGAAACCATGAAAAAGGTAGCCTCAAATAATAACCAACAGACAATAGAAAATTGCATCAATATGGCAAAACCATACAAATCAACTGATATCCAGTATCGCTATATTACAATCAGGTTGCTACAGTGAATAGTTGAAGATTTATAACCGATTAATATTGTCAACATACCAACATTTATAAGTTTGTGCAAATCTTTGAATAAACAATACTCTGTACCCTGTATAAGTACTATAAAGAAGAAACTACATGAATATGTTGTATTTACTGAAGAACATCTACAAAATGAAATCAAAAATTCAATGAAAACATATAGTTTTACAACAGACCTTTGGACACAATTTTACATACCATATATTGACATAACAGTTCACTGGATTACTCCTGAGTTTGAGTTACAGCAAGAACTCTTAACTATAGAAGAATTTCCTTATGGACACTCTGCCACCAGAATCGCTGAATTCCTTTGTATATTATTTGAGAAGTGGTGTATAAGTGATAAAGTTATTGCAGAAATAAGTGACAATGCCGCCAATATGAAAGCTGCACTACAACAACTCAACATTCAACATATAACCTGTTGTGCACATACACTACAACTTGCAATAAACGAAGGGCTAAAAAAATGTGAATTCATGGTTAAGACAATGGCATTAAATAATGCTCTTGTGAATTGTGATAAATACCATGAAACACTACGACGTGTACAACAGTTAATGATCGATGATAATTTACAAACAAAAATTCTTGAACCTATTACTGATATCAAAACTAGATGGAACTCAACTTACCTTGTCTTGCAATGCTTTCATATACTCCATAATGCTATGCATTCCCTAGCTGCTGTTCTCAAAAATGATGCTGAATATTCAGTTCAAAATGATGAAAATAATTTGGAAAATCTCTTATTAAGTAATGATGAATGGTTAGCATTAAGTAGTTTATTAGAGTTGTTGAAGCCATTTGTTCAAGTTACAAACATTATTGGCGGAAGCCATTATTCGACACTATCTATGATATATCCCATTATAAACAAAATCAAAAATCATCTTGCTCAATTTATATCTCAACATAACATTGTAACAAGAGTGAGAGACTGTATTA